TCCTTTGATGTGAGGAGTGAGGTGTCATCACACGTAGGTGTGAAATGCCCCCCTGTAGTAGCGCCTTTGTTGTCTAATCCTTTGATGTGAGGGTTGAGGTGTTATAACACGTAGGTGTGAAATGCCCCCCTGTAGTAGTGCCTTTGATGTCTGTCCTTTGATGTGAGGGTTGAGGTGTTATAACAGGCCGGTGTGATATCACACCGGTGTGTTATAAGCCTCTGATGTTAATCTATGTGTTGATTAAGGCAGTCTCTTTGAAGTTGTGCGTGAGACTGTCTCACACCCCCATGTGAGGGGTGATGTGTTATAGCGTGTAGGTGTGAAATGTCCCCATGTAGTACACTGTACTACATGGGGACAAAGTCTAATCTAATTAGCCTCTGATGTCTGTCCTTTGATGCACCCTGGCAGTAGAGCCTTTGTTGTCTAATCTAATTAGTCTTTGATGTCCACAGGCGGCGTTTATCCAGCAGCCAGAACATCCATCTGTGCCGGCCCTCAGGTCAAAATCTACTGTGGCTCAAGGGCCTTCACCAGAGCCATCACCACCATGGACCAGCAGACCAGCATCACTACAGCTGCCTCCACCTCCATCTGCGGCTGCCACCAGGTCAAGATACACCTCAGCATAAAGGCTCCACCACAGCCATCACCATCGACCCAGACAGCAAGGAGGTCTCGTGGAGGTCTCGTGGAGGTCTCGTGGAGGTCTCGTGGAGGTCTCGTGGAGGTCTCGTGGAGGTCTCGTATAGCACTTGTACCCCCCACCTACACAGCACCATGCACCATCACCCCCACCTACACAGCAGCCAGACCCACTGTCTTGGAAGACAGACAAAGACCTTGACACTGTCTTGACATTTATAATGAATAGTTGGTTGAAAGTTCTGATGTTCAATATTGTAAATAGTGAGATTTTCCAGTTTCTTATATAAATAGTTGGTTGAAAAAAACATATTTATAATGTTGGTTGAAAAAAAAAGTTTGAATACTCAATTTACTACTAAAAACTGCTTTTTATTAACGTCATACGTCAAACGCGTTATATTACGTCACAACTTTCTCGGACTCGTTCTCTGCCCAATCCGCGGTAGTAGTTTGTAGTTGGATTGAGCGGTTGTGATTTAGTGAGCTGGTATTTTTTCAGTAATTTTACATTGCATTTCACCATTTGTAATCATGGTGAGCTTGTGTTTGTGCAGGTTGCACAAACTCAAGCCTGTCAGGACATCGAGCCCAGTTTCCCTAACAGTAAAAGGACCGGAGCTAGCGTTCGTTCCTGGGTGCGTTGTGCATCCACCTCCCTGCAGCACATACTCTCCACAGCTTTATCAGGAAACCGTATTACATCTCTCTCCCCCCCTTCGCTGCTCTCTCTCTCTCCCCTCCGGTACACAGCACCGTAAGACGTAGTGTGGAGTTGCATTAGGTAACGCTGTGGTGGCTGTACTGCTTCAGCCGTCTCCTTTGTGTTTGTTTGTTTCCATCTGTCTGTGTTGTTTGTGTGGGCGTGGTGGCTGTCACTCCCGGCTCAACCTCCACTCACCTGCTGCAATCAGCTGTTCACCCTCCACGACAACACACCTGCTTTCCATCAAGCCATTTACAACGGCATATCAACGGAGGCTCCACAACTTTTCTCCGCCAGATCGTCTATCAGTATCAGCCGTATCTCGCGTCTCCCCTCCGGTACACAGCACCGTAGTGTGGAGTTGCATTAGGTAACGCGAGATACGGCTGATACTTGCGCATTAGTTTCTGTTATGGATCAGTATCAACAGTGCTGCCAGTAACGTTACTATATTATCAATACTACTTTAGTTATAGCCTGATATGATTGCTAACTTTACAATGTTGTGATGTGACTGACGTTAGCTAACATTAACTGTAGCTAACGCTGGTCACTCACCAAGACAGCTGCTCTGTTCTCCACTGGTTCTCCACACACCAAAGCTCCACTTCTCTCCGATGGCCGTTATTTTTTTTAATCCTTGGCTGCTCCTGGTCTCTTGGACGCATAGCAGGCTCATAATAATAATCATATGCATTCGAATATATATTTTCAACCTCTTCTGTGTCAAAACTAGCATTGTGATCCATGTTTATTCATACTAGACCGGCCGCTCTCCCCCATGTTACGTCACACGCGGGAGGTCACGTGCGGAGGCTTTTTTATGCGGAAGTGAAAATGTCTTACTAAAACGACGCCAGATGTCACTGTAGTGTATATTTCTGTATATTTCTTTGAAAATCTAGTGTATTCATCATTTTTCCTACACATTTATTCACTGGTGTGTCTAACCTGCAAGTTGCTCTTTAAAAAAAAATCTAATCAGACAATGTACTTCATTTTCTAGTTTTAAGGTTTTGCATACCTCAAAGTGTGTGTAAAAGTATCTTGGCAAGAGAAAAAAGCCAACATCTGCCTAGGGCCTAGGCCATTAAAAAAAACCGAATTCCTTATAAAGTATTTCATATTCTACCAGTTGTTAAGTGTTGCATACATCAAAGTGTATCTAAAAGTATCTTAGTAACACAAGAAAAGAGAAACAAATAATGTCAGTAAATAAGTGTTAAAATCACAAACTTGCCTTTTAGAGTCACAGTCTTTAAGAAAAGAAAATGTTACAAAGTGATTGACATTCTACCAGTTGTACAATGTTCCTACATAAAAGTGTATCACAAAAGTATCTTGGTTTCAAAAATGTTTAAGGTTTTGCATACATAAAAAGTGTATCTTACAGTTCCTTTGTGAGAGAATTACACACAAATCTGCCGAGTGTCAGTAAAAAAGTGTTAAAATCACAAACTTACCTTTTAGAGAAATAGTCTTTAAGAACAAATCTAATCAGACAATGTACTTCATTTCTAGTTTTAAGGTTTTGCATACTTCAAAGTGTGTCTAAAAGTATCTTGGCAAAATAAAAAAGCCAAAATCTGCCTAGGCCATTAAAAGAAACCGAATTCCTTACAAATTACTTCATATTCTACCAGTTGTTAAGTGTTGCATACATCAAAGTGTGTCTAAAAGTATCTTAGTAACACAAGAAAAGAGAAAAAGCCAACATCTGCCTAATGTCAGTAAATAAGTGTTAAAATCACAAACTTTCCATTTAGAGTTTGATTATTTAAGAAAATCTGTTCAGAAAAAGTACTTAACTCTCTACCAGTTGTAAAGTTGACCAACGTAAAACTGTATCCACAAGTAAGAGAAAAACAACGAGAGAAAAAACAAAATCTGCCTAGTGTCAGTACAAAAGTGTTAAAATCACAAAACGTGCCTTTTTAGAGTCACAGTCTTTAAGAAAATACATTTGTTATAAAGTAAATGACATTCTACCAGTTGTAAAATGTTCCTACATAAAAGTGTATCACAAAAGTATCTTGGTTTCAAAAATGTTTAAGGTTTTGCATACATACAAAGTGTATCTTACTGTTCCTTTGTGAGAGAATTACACACAAATCTGCAGAGTGTCAGTAAAAAGTGTTAAAATCACAAACTTGCCTTTTAGAGAAACAGTCTTTAAGAAAAAATCTAATCAGACAATGTACTTCATTTTCTAGTTTTAAGGTTTTGCATACCTCAAAGTGTGTCTAAAAGTATCTTGGCAAGAGAAAAAAGCCAAAATCTGCCTAGGCCATTAAAAAGAAACCAAATTCCTTACAAAGTACTTCATATTCTACCAGTTGTTAAGTGTTGCATACATCAAAGTGTGTCTAAAAGTATCTTAGTAACACAAGAAAAGAGAAAAAGCCAACATCTGCCTAATGTCAGTAAATAAGTGTTAAAATCACAAACTTTCCATTTAGAGTTTGATTATTTAAGAAAATCTGTTCAGAAAAAGTACTTAACTCTCTACCAGTTGTAAAGTTGACCAACGTAAAACTGTATCCACAAGTAAGAGAAAAACAACGAGAGAAAAAACAAAATCTGCCTAGTGTCAGTACAAAAGTGTTAAAATCACAAAACGTGCCTTTTTAGAGTCACAGTCTTTAAGAAAATACATTTGTTATAAAGTAAATTACATTCTACCAGTTGTAAAATGTTCCTACATAAAAGTGTATCACAAAGTATCTTGGTTTCAAAAATGTTTAAGGTTTTGCATACATACAAAGTGTATCTTACTGTTCCTTTGTGAGAGAATTACACACAAATCTGCAGAGTGTCAGTAAAAAGTGTTAAAATCACAAACTTGCCTTTTAGAGAAACAGTCTTTAAGAAAAAATCTAATCAGACAATGTACTTCATTTTCTAGTTTTAAGGTTTTGCATACCTCAAAGTGTGTCTAAAAGTATCTTGGCAAGAGAAAAAAGCCAAAATCTGCCTAGGCCATTAAAAAGAAACCAAATTCCTTACAAAGTACTTCATATTCTACCAGTTGTTAAGTGTTGCATACATCAAAGTGTGTCTAAAAGTATCTTAGTAACACGAGAAAAGAGAAAAAAGCCAAAATCTGTCTAGTATCAGTAAATAAGTGTTAAAATCACAAACTTGCCTTTTAGAGTCACAGTCTTTAAGAAAATAAAAGTTTTACACAGTGACTGACATTCTGTATGGGGGTTTCACACCTGAGCGGCTGCAGGGGGGCGTTGAAAAGGGGATGAGTATGTCTGGCTCTCGGAGGGATGGTGTGTTAAGAGTTACAGTCTTAAAGAAAATCTGTTCAGAAAAAGTACTTAACTTTCTACCAGTTGTAAAGTTGTCATACATAAATCTCTATCCAAAAAGTAAGAGAAAGACAACGAGATAAAAAAAAGCTAAATCTGCCTAGTGTCAGTAAAAGTGTTAAATCACAAAACTTGCCTTTTAGAGTCACATTCTTAAATAACATCTATTTAGACAAAGTATTTCATTTTTTCTAGTTTTAACTTTTTGCATACATAAACGTGTATCTTACAGTTCCTTTGTGAGAGAATCTTCCTTATAGATAATAACGTAATTTCAATCAGGAGAGACGTGATGTATGGAATACATATTTATTATCGGTCACATTATATACATGAAACATAATGATGACAGTTCATAACAAGTGAATTAAATGGTGTTTTGGCGATTAGGCCCAGGTTTTGTAGGATATCAATCGGGAAGGGAAGAACCGTTTCCGATGAACCCCCCTGGGTCTAGACACTGGTGGTGGTGATAAGTGGTTAGGTCCGGTTGGAAGGGAGAAGGTTAAGCTTGGTCCTGAGTTGGAAGCAGGAGGCGAAGGGGTGGAGGAGGGTTGCGCTTTGACACCTGGAAGACAGCTGATAGGAAAGGGGAGAGCATATATAGAGGGATTAACAGGTGCGATGATTAGGCTTGTAAATGGAGGGGAGTGATAGGTTAGCTGAGGAGTGGCGCTCCCTCTCATTTAGATGCAGGGAGCGAGTATTGCCATGAGATGCAATACGGAGTGATAGGTCTTCCTGTCTGAACTTGCGCTAAGCTTCATTTCAATCAGGAGAGACGTGATGTATGGAATACATATTTATTATCGGTCACATTATATACATGAAACATAATGATGACAGTTCATAACAAGTGAATGAAATGGTGTTTTGGCGATTAGGCCCAGGTTTTGTAGGATATCAATCGGGAAGGGAAGAACCGTTTCCGATGAACCTCCAAAAGAATGAAGTATGAAGTACTGAACGTGAAGGATCTTACCTTGTGGGATGCAGTGGAAATCTATGGATGGAAATGAGAGTTAATACATGTGAGAATTTAAACATCTGATGCCTCCCGGGCATCCTTCCTGGACATGCAGGGCTTCCCGGACGTACGGGGCACCCCGGATGGGGCATCCTGGACGTACAGGGCGTCCCGGACGTACGGGGCATCCCTAATGGGCATCCTGGACATACAGGGCTTCCCGGACGAAAAACGGGGCGTCCCGGACATACGGGGCATCCCTAATGGGCACCCTGGACGTACAGGGCGTCCCGGACGTACGGGGCATCCCTAATGGGCATCCTGGACATACAGGGCATCCTGGACATACAGGGCATCCCGGAAGTACGGGGCATCCCGGGCGAACGGGGACTTCCCGGACATACAGGGCATCATGGACATATACGGACCGGAGGTTAACGACCCGGACATACGGGGCTTCCCGGACGTACAGGGCGTCCCGGACATACGGGGCATCCTGGACATACAGGGCATCCTGGACATACAGGGCATCCTCGACGTACGGGGCGTCCCGGACATACGGGGCATCCCTAATGATCATCCTGGACGTACAGGGCGTCCCGGACGTACAGGGCATCCCTAATGGGCATCCTGGACATACAGGGCATCCTGGACATACAGGGCATCCTGGACATACAGGGCATCCCGGGCGAACGGGGCATCCTGGACATGCAGGGCGTCCTGGACATACAGGGCATCCTGGACATACAGGGCGTCCCGGAAGTACGGGGCATCCTGGACATACAGGGACACATTATACAGACCCGAAGGTTTTACAACCTGGACATACAGGGTTAGATATGCAGAATAAACATGAGCCGCGGGGCGACATACGTGCTGACATGCACCACCACCAGTTATATGCATACGTACCAATTTTAAGGTTGGAGAGACCTTTGGATAGCCAGCACGGCATTGAGGTCAGCGCGAAGGTAGGATGAGAAAGCGGAGGAGGACCACCGTTCGAGTTGTTGCAGGGATGAGGATGAGACACCTTGATTAGCAGCGGAAGTAGCTGCGCCTATTCTAAAGGAATGCCCCGTGTATAGAAGGGGTGATAACCCGGATTTAATGAGGACTTGTTTTAATAGATATTGAACTGTCGTTGAGTTAAAGGAAAATTCCCTGAGATAAGGAATAATGGTGAGAGAGGATTAGAGGTAGGTCTAAGCTGTAGGAATTTGATCATGGATTTATAAGGGCAGAACTGGGAGTCGATGCGGGCGGCGATGACAGGGCAGGCGCCGCCGCATTTGGAGTGTTTAAGATATAAGCTAGAGTGGCTAGCGTGAAAGGATATGTCAGAAAAGCTGACGTCTCGATGGGAATCGAATGTAAGGGAAGCTGTAGTAAATTCACCTGGTCTAAGAAAGGCATAAAAAGCTAGGAGAATAGAGCGTCGAGTAGTGAATTGATCTAAGGGGAGAATAACCCACTTCTAAGTTTGGAGAGCATGAGGCGTAAAGTGGAGAGTGTAATAGGGCGTCTCCGGACTAATACGGGGGAAAAAGTTTTAATGAGACCTTTGAGGATGAGTTTGACTGACTGGTTTGCGAACAGGCTGGGAAAGCCGGGATCGGAACAGCGAACGTTAAACTGCACTCCGGCTAAGAGGCCCCGGATGCTTTTTAGATTGACTTCTTCTTTTGAGGTGTTAGATCCAGCGAGTGTGATAAGGAATGTGTAGCAATAGTGGAAATCTGAGTGTGCCGCTATGCGGATGATCTCATGCAGATGTCCCCCCCAAAACGGAGGATGTGCAGTGCACGTCCTTAAATCGGGGAAAACGCGGTCGTCGTGAGGCCGGCGGATGCCACGTCCAGGAAACGGGAGATGATGGCGTGCCGAAGAATATCCGCATGTAAAGTACGGTTGCCCGATGAGGAAGTGCAACTGTCGTTGAAGACGTTTATGTGGATGCACGCAGTTTGGTTAGAGGAACGTCAATACCATGAGCTTGATGTGATGCCTAGGAACTCCAGGTGTGTGACTGGGCCTATAGTTCCTCATGATTAGGAACGCTATGCTCCTGGAGGATTCTCTTCTTCTTTCTTTTTCTCTTTTCCCAGTTGAGCGGAGTTATAGGTTAGTAATGTTGTATTTGAACACTAGATGCGTAAAGCAACGCATGAGGAGATCTCCCTGAGCAGTGGGTGATTTGAACTGGGGAGAGACAGCTATTAATATTATTTACCCGAATAGCCGGTGCACACGTAGTTTCTCCTTACTTGACTGTAGCTTAAGGCTGAAAGAGTTCCGCTGAACGATGATGGGAACTTAAAGCGCGTCGTTAATATCTGCTTTGAAGAGCCAGCCTTGGCCTGCACACTATTAAGATTACATTATCTCCGTGCGTAGAAAGGGGGGAACATTGACCTTTGTCATCGAGATTGCCCTGAGCCTTTAACGAATCGTATTAAATAATCTGATAACAGACTGTAAACCGAATAGCTGAAATTTTAACAAACTAAATAACTCAGTTACCTCTAATCATTACCCATGTTTGTATAATGTAGTTAACTCTGTGTGTTGCTGCTAGCATACATAACACCTGACGTGGAAACGTTACTCGTGGATGGGGCTACAGAGCTACTAGAAAGACGGTCGAACCCGGTACATTCCTCCGTCTGCATGCGGTGCACTTTGCTAAATGTTTAGACAAATTGCTCGTGCTTACATGCTAAACTCTTATTGCACTTATGGTAACTAGTATTCTCCACATCGAGACGGGTAAAGTTTAACCACACCTCGGAGCGCGTTCTCTCCGCCATCTCCGCAGTGAGCTCCGCTGCATGTAGCAGCTGCGTGTGTGTAAACTGCCCCGCCCCCTCGCACGCAGACGGGGGAGAGATCTCGTCTGATCGAAAATCCATCATAGACGCATTTGTTGTCTTTGCATATTAGAAGCGAGTTGGCGACACTAAGACTGCGATATAATGTTTTTTAGCAATAATACATGACATATATTTATAAATATCTCCGGTACCGGTAAAAGACCAATACGTTGGAACTTAACGGCGCGTAAAACACACGTGATGACGTCGCCAATGAATCGACGACTGAATTAGTTGGTAACTAATTTGGTAATCGATTAAGTCGATTAGTTGTTGCACCCCTACTGCCGAGGAGATGTTGTTGTCGCAGATCCGGCCGTTGGTGCAACGAGAAACGGAATATTTCTTGGTGGAGAAGAAAAAGAGAAAAATACGATAATTCAGTCAATAATCATTAAATTAATATTGGGAGTGAATTCCTAATTTATTTAGTATCTGGTCGTGTCATAAACAGGATAATGTGCAGCGACTTGGTCATTGAGGAAAATAAGCCCTACGAAACCCCATTTATTTCATTAACACTGTGTTGAAGCTTGAAACTGCGTTAGTTACTGAGCAATGTAATGGGTAGTAATTACCCCGAACTGCATTAGAAATGCAAGTAATACGTTACTGAACTCCATACTGTAACACGTTACACCCAACACTGCCTGCTGGGACTTACCTAACCCTGAACTAAAGGTAGCAATGCATAGTGTTGAACTTCCTGTCGGCTCCCAGACCGTAGTCGAGGAAACGGGGGGGATGACTCTCTGTCGTTTCCCAGGGCAGAAGCAACACGCTTCGGGTTCAATAACCCATTTGTCGGAGATACTGGAGAGAGGCGAGCTCTTCTTGGGAAGTCGTTGCATTTATTTAGCTCTTCTGTTTCGCAAGATCACAGACCTTCCTTTTTCTGCTGCCTCGTTATTTCTAGAAAACATGTATTCCGCTCGGTCTACCATACCATGCCCGCGCACACATGCACGCGTCACACCCCTCTCTTAAAGGGGTAGCGATCTCACTCTGGATGACCCAATGTCATAACGATATACGAAACATCTCGTGAATTTGTTGCAACTGCCTCTTGCTAGCGCTACCCTGACGCCTGTTTTAGAGGTGAGGCGCAGGAGGAAGTAGCTTCAATGGGATGTAGCTTACGCCCTGCCTGCCTGCGGGAGGGGTTGTGGTTGAAGCCAATGGGTAAAGCTTCGCATGCGATGAGGACCCGTTCCGCGTGAAGCCGGAAGTGCCGCATTTGAACGGCCCTACTGCCGGTGATGCCCTCTTGAGAGACTGAAGGCGTGTGTCAATTGTTTGCGTGAAGTAGCCCATTCCCATTAGCCGGAGGAATTTCCGTGGAGCCCGATTTCCTCCCGCGTCCGGGTTTGCGGGGCGGCTGGCTGGAACCGCTAGCCGACTGGGGGACGCCGCCTGTAGCTTAATCCGCAAGACTGCGGAGCTGATGAATAATGCCTGGAGCTGGGACGAAGCCCTGCTGCTGCTTGCGCGTTGACACCTGGAAGCGTTGCGCGTTGACACCTGGAAGCGTTGCGCGTTGACACCTGGAAGACAGCTGATAGGAAAGGGGAGAGCATATATAGAGGGATTAACAGGTGCGATGATTAGGCTTGTAAATGGAGGGGAGTGATAGGTTAGCTGAGGAGTGGCGCTCCCTCTCATTTAGATGCAGGGAGCGAGTATTGCCATGACGTGCAATACGGAGTGATAGGTCTTCCTGTCTGAACTTGCGCTAAGCTTCATTAAACAATAAAAAAAGACATGATCAAGGGGGCATTAAGATCTTTAAACTATTAATACCCTCTTCAAAGAGACTTCCTTGTAGTTGATAAAATAATTAAGACATTAGTTCACAAGCCATACAACTTAAGAGAACATCCAGTTCACAAGTCATACAATTTCAAAAAGAACATCCTTGGTTAACAACAACTTCATAGGGGCTTCAAAGTTGTGGGAAGTAATTAAACATTACAAATACAAGATCAGGGGGTCATTAAGATCTTTTAAATTATTATTACCCCTCTTCATAAAAGAGAATTCCTTATAGTTAATAAAGTAATTACACATTAATTCACTAGCCATACAACTTAAAAAGAACATCTTTAGTTAACACAAATCATATTAAAAAACGAATCTAATTTAGAGGGGACAATAACAGTTTTAGGTGACTTAGTGAGTGAAAATTAATGGCTTTTTATTTAGTCTGCACGGATTTCTTTTTTCCACCTAACTCCACCCCCACTATCTTCTGGCCATAGCGTGTGACAGGAAGGGGTGGAGAAAGGGGGAGAGGCCGGGGGTGTGAGGGGACGGGGGCGAGACAGTCTCACACACAACTTCAAAGAGACTGCCTTAATCAACACCTAGATTAACATCAGAGGCTTATAACATGCCGGTGCGAAATCACACCTGCCTGTTATAACACCTCAACCCTCACATCAAAGGACAGACATCAAAGGCTAATTAGATTAGACAACAAAGGGCTGTGAGAGGACGAGGGCGAGACAGTCTCACGCACAACTTCAGAGAGACTGCCTTAATCAACACCTAGATTAACATCAGAGGCTTATAACATGCCGGTATGAAATCACACCTGCCTGTTATAACACCTCAACCCTCACATCAAAGGACAGACATCAAAGGCTAATTAGATTAGACAACAAAGGGCTGTGAGGGGACGGGGGCGAGACAGTCTCACGCACAACTTCAAAGAGACTGCCTTAATCAACACCTAGATTAACATCAGAGGCTTATAACATGCCGGTATGAAATCACACCTGCCTGTTATAACACCTCAACCCTCACATCAAAGGACAGGCATCAAAGGCTAATTAGATTAGACAACAAAGGGCTGTGACGGGACAGGGGCGAGACAGTCTCACGCACAACTTCAAAGAGACTGCCTTAATCAACACCTAGATTAACATCAGAGGCTTATAATACGCCGGTGTGAAATCACACCTGCCTGTTATAACACCTCAACCCTCACATCAAAGGATTAGACAACAAAGGTGCTACACAGGGGGGCATTTCACACCTACGTGTGATGACACCTCACCCCTCACATCAAAGGATCTCACACCTACGTGTGATATCACA